AGCTCGATTCGCAGCTAAATCTTATTTGCTGCGATAATACGATAAATTTTCTCATTTCCTAGCCAGACATTCTTCCCAAGGTCTCCAAAGCCTGATCTATAGTCATTCCAGGTGCGATGGAAGCTGACAGATGCATCCTGTCGCCTTTGGAACACAATTCATCCTCAACTGTCCGTATCCAGGTCGCAATACACCTCAAACTCTGTTTTTATTTCAGGGTTGATGGTGTAAACACCACTAATATTGAGTCCAGCATAAAGGATATCATCGCATCCTCTCGCTACACAAAACAAGAATTGAATTATGTGCTTTGTGCTGAGTGGGAGGGCCGGACGAAAATATTTAGCTTGAGGTCATAACGAACGGACCGAGCGCAGAAAGGTCACTGCATCATGACCATGAGGCAAGTGATAAAGATGGGGGCGAATTTGTTATTTTTGATGAATGGGAGAATTCTTCTTGATTAGGGCGAACTGGAAGGCGATGAACTCTTAATGGAGCGACACCTCTGTGAACCACACCGTCCTAAACGGTATCTAGTAATCGTGAAATAACGACAGCGCACTTACGAGGTCTGTTAATAACAGAGAAAGTTAAGGCTTCCACTTTCAAGGAAGTCGTCACTATGCTTGAATAGCAAACTTTCCGACTTTTTCTCGGAGGGAGGGGGGCGCACGGGCATTGTTTCATTAAGCCTTTGTTTTTTTTGCACCTCTTTGTTTACACTTCCAAAGTCTCCAAGTTATAAAAGGTGACAACAAAGGAAATACATAAGAGACCACTTACTTTGTGGAGGCTGAACACACAGCTTCTGACAAGAATCCGAACAGCATTTCATTTCACCAATACAATCTGAATCCAAGGTAAATGCCTTTCTTCAAACCCCCTGAAAGTAAATGAGTAGTTTTTTAAAGGGCTTCTTTAAACTAAGCCAAGAATTTTGAAGATGGCCATTTGCAATGGGCGAATGGATTATGGTTTATCCTTTCTTTTGGTTCTTTTATTCTATCTTCCTTAACATATATTGTGATTAAAGAGGGTAAGTTTCTAAAGAAACTATGGTGCTGAGTCGGTGGGAGAGTATAACAGGGTAATTTAGTATTATCAACGGGGTTAATAACGTAAATTAGCCACCGTAAAGAGTTTTAAGGCTGACGTTTCGAGCGTTAGCCCTTTGTCAGAGCAATTTACGTGTTTCAAGAAGGTTGTCGTTAAAAACGATTCAAAATACCAGTAAATAGTAGAATTGAGATGGTATTGAATATTCTGCAAGATGCTAGGACAAAAAAAAAAATAAATCATGGAAAAAGCTATCAAAACGGATCAAATAAATTCGGCTAAAGGACATCAGATGGCCTCGTAATAAAAGTAAGGCGCTAAGAAATGTTGTTATGAGAAATCCAAATAATTACTATCATTTTTATTACTAAAATTCAGATGAGCATTGCTTGATACACGAGTGGATATGAAATTGCTTATGAGGTACTTCTTTGATCAAATCTCCCTAGAC